TGTACTTTCTTAAATATTGACGTTTTTAAAGATATAAGCTCATTCTGATGTTACACTCATCAAGAGCTTTCATTTGAGTACCCACATACATTTTTTATATATTTTTCATATGTATATATATATAATATATATAAATATATGAAAAATTGATGTGGGTACTCAAATGAAAGGTCTTGATGAGTGTAACATCGAGATGAGCTTATATCTTTAAAAATGTCAATATTTTACAAGATACAAGGTCATTTTTTAATTATGTATCTAGAGATTTATTTGAAACTCCCTAATAATAATAATTTAACTAAGTCTTAAAAATTATCTTTTAAGTATTCTCGTCTTCCTTTTTAAGACTTAATTATTATTATTGAAAAATGTTTAATATAAATTAGATTTACCCAAATAAAATACTATAATTTTTTAAAAATAATCAATAATTATTATTACTTATATTTATATTAAATAATTTCAATCTTATTCATTTTTAAAATTGAAAATTAAATTTAAGTAATAATAGTTATACACTTTTATGAAAAAAAAATCATAAAATTTTACTTTTGTAATAAATATAACTTACTATAAACATTTTATTCATAGTTAAAAATTAAATTTATTATATATGATACTCAAGAGACTATTTCAAAATATTGTGCAAGCAGCCAAAAATTTTTCTAACAAAAGTATTTTTTAAACTTCTAAAAATATATTTCAACAAACAATATATTTACATTTTCTTACCCTGGATAAAAGAAGAAAAAAATTATCAATAAATATCAAAGCTATTGATCTTAAGAAGACTATTATATATCCATATAATAAAAATTAATACAAATCAGGTTGTACAATTCGTGATTGGCGGTCATCATTGCGGACATGTGTCTTAAGTAAATCCATTATCTCATGATTAAACTCAGCGGGAGTTGGTTTCATACCGATAGCCCAGTAATATAAATCCCAATCATTAGAAGGTAGGTTTATCAATTCATCATAGAGCGCCAGTTGTTTTTCATTAAATGTGTCTAAATATTTTTTAGCGAATGTACTCAAGACAAGTCCATTTTCCAGCATACCTCGTTTACGGGATTGGTATACAAGTCTAAAAAAAATAATTATTAATTAATTAATTATAAAAAAAAAGAAGATAATAAATACCTAGCTTTTTTTAACTTGATGTCTTCTTGAAGACGAGGAACATATACAGGAATTGCTGGTTCATTACCGGGAGGATGATGGATCTCGGAGTTGGATCTTACTCCGACAATTTGCAACGTCGGCCTAACCTGGTAAGTAAAAATAAAAATTTAATTTTATCAATTATTAATGTAAATAATTTTATTGATAGAAAAAATTAATTTATATTTCTTTACTCACCAATCTGTTGAAATTATTGAGACGCAGCATGATGAAGATATTTTTTTTTTTTTTACTACTACGTCTTAATTTTAGAGGATATTTTAGTTAGCAAGTCTGGTGAAAAACAAATGACAAACTAGCTGATGTTTATTTCTTACTGCGCATGACAAGTGCGGCGCGGGAAATTATAAAAATTTTTCAATACTAGTATACGTTGCGCGTGTGTGAATGTTGGTATGGAATTATCTATATTTTCATGCTTATGATATATTTGACCAATCACGTTACGAATAGTTTGCTCTTACATGATATATTTTCATATTTTTCATCTAAATTATAAGAGTGGATTAAGGAAGTTCGAGCGTAACTAATGAGTTAAAATTTTTTTTTAATTTTAGTCTTCCCAATATTCGTCAAAATTCTTTATTTTAATTTAAAATAATTTAAACAATTTAATAATTGATGATTTTTACTTATTTAATAAAGTAAAGTAATAAAATGACTTTGGTATTTATTACTTGCCGGAATAAATAAACAGATTTGGCAATAGCGCGGTTGATTGTACCCATAACCTGTAGACGTGGATGAGTGTGTGAGTTAAACATTTCTCTCTCTGTAACTATATTTCTATCCTTTTGTTTTTTCTCAGCTGTTGACGCGATGTTGTCAAATGTTTATTCGAATAAATGGCTGACGATAAACCAGTTACAAACATTAAATTTGACCTTAAATATTTCAACAAATTATATCGGTAATGTATTATTATTAAATTGTTTTTATATTTTGCAATAATCCAACGTTTTGCGTGTATAGTTTTTTATCCGTTAAAGTTGGGAGGTTAATATTGACAAAAAATAATTAAAGTCTCGACAAAACGTTTGTCCGCCATAAGAGCCCGTGTATAAGGAGATAAAATATGTGATTTTTAAAATTTAATATCTAAGTAACTAAACGGTGAATCTTTTTTAAATTTTGGCATTAAATAAATCACGTATCTATTTATACGTATACTTAATTTCAAACAAAGTTGGAAATTATTTTTTACATTAGATTCGCTCGAACCTCCTTAAATAATTAAAAAATACAATAAGTCACATAATAATTAAAAATTTTGTTTTTTTTTTAATAAATTTTTTCAACTTTTTAAAAATCACTAAATTAAATTTTATGAAGACGAAATTAAATTCATTTAATGAAATTTTGTTAATAAAACAAAATTAACTTGTTGGACATTGAACGTCACTTTCTTTTACAGCTTTCAGCCTCAAAACTTCATTTAAAATTTTCTTCTCTAGCTCTAATAATGCTGGAGGTTTTTTGTACTAAAACACAACAAAAATTACAATATAAATAAATAAAAATTCAATATAATTGTTAATTATAAAAAAAGAAAAAAAAGTAATACTTACGGTAATAATCAGCGAATTAAACTTGTGATCAAAACTAAGCCGATCTTGATCAAGTTTCAAATTATTTCTTTCTAAATCAGGAACTGTTATTTCTTTATAAAATTTTTTATTAGAAGTCTTGACAATTATTTTGTCTTTTGCGGCATTTATCAATACGCTAAAAACTTCTTTTGGGTATGGCAAATTTCGTATTCTCCATTCTAAAGATAATTTTGAAATTTTCCTTGAAATAATTGGCTGAAAAAAAAAAAGAATCAATATTTTATGTTTTAAATGAAGAAGATATTCATTTGAAATTTAATTTACATTAGTAACATTTTCACGGATTCCGATATCAATACCAGAAGATTTAGGCTCAGGATCTCCGACTTCAACTTCCCAACCTTGATCACGTCCTAATTTAGTTTTTTGTCTCCATGCTCTTCTACTTAGTATATTATCGTTTAAATTATATTCTTCAACTAATTCTCTTCCGTCTGATAGTAAAAAGTGTACTTTTCTTTTTCCTGTTTTTAAATAATAATAATAATAATAAATTCTAGAGTATAATTACAGATGACGTTTAAATAAATAAATAAATAAATATTAAGAAAAAATTAATAATTAAAAAATATTAAAATTTAATATTTAAATAATTATTATTATTATTAGATTATTTAAAATTACCATCTTGAATTATAGAAGTTTTCTTAGCTGATTTAATAAGATCAAAATATTCTGACATTTTGTCAACTAATTGTTTGTTGATTACCATAGAAACCATTTACTTGAAATGAGTTTTGCTTTTATAAAAATCATATTAAGGAGGTTCATCGGAAAATAACTTTTCTATTACAATGTCCTTCAATTTTTGAATTTAGATACTTTTAAGTGTTCTTTATATAAGTAGAAATTTTTTTAAATAGTCCTTGCGACATAAAATTTTGGAAATATTATTAGCATTTAAAATTAGTACTCAATATCAATTGTACTTTTCTTAGGATTGTTTTATATAAAATTAAGAATAATTAATTAAAGATATAACAATTATTTTTTATAAAAAAATAACATAAAAACAAGCTGTATTAATTTTTTTTAATAGAGCGAGTGTTGATATTTTACGTGAGTGGAAGTAAGTGACCGATAGTCTGTAAAGAGAGGCAGCACTAGTGTGTGAGAAAGAAACCAATATCCATAAAACCTATTGGTGTATTTTTCATACCGATTAACGTCCTTAATACTTTAAAATTGAATTTAAAGATGAATTCCGCTGATTATATCATTGAAAAAAATTTGTTTATAATTCAAAAAAAAATATAAAATTGATTAGTATTACTTATGATAAATAGTATCTATAAAAGCGTTCTTAATTTCGTCGCCTCTATATCCCTCGATAGCTCAGTTGGTAGAGCGGTGGACTGTAGTCGGAAATTGTGAGAGTTATCCATAGGTCGCTGGTTCAAATCCGGCTCGAGGGAAATTTTTGTATTTTATTAAGATATTTAAAACAAAAAAAAACGATATTAAATTTAAAAAAAAATTTTTTTTCCCTCAAAATTATATTTTTTAATAATGAAGGAAAAAAAATTATTAATTATTTTTAAAATAAAAATTTATTTTATTAAAAATATAATTTTATTTTTAGAAACTGAAAAATTATAAATGCAATTTTTTTTAAATAATTTTTACAATTTTTTTTTTAAATAAATTAATTTTATTTGTTAGAAGCTCTAAAAAATTATAGATGCAATTTTTTTTTAAATAATTTTTACAATGTTTTTTTTTAAATAAATTAATTTTATTTGTTAGAAGCTCTAAAAAATTATTTGCAATTTTTTAAAAATATTTTTTACAATTTTTTTTTTAAATAAATTAATTAAAAATTAAATTTTATTTGTTAGGAGCTCTAAAAAATTATAAATGCAATTTTTAAAAAATAATATTATATAACTAGTTAAATAAAATTTTATTGATTTTAATTTAATGTTAATTTTTTCCTTATAAAAAAATTTAAAATAACAATTTTTGCTCTCTTTGCATACTTAACTGTCTTTTCAAATTATAATTACTGCAAATTGTGATTAAAAATATTAGTTAATTTAAAAAAAATAAATAAAAAAAATTGTGTGCTATTTTCAGTGATTAAAATTCAAATTTAAATTTACCGCGCAAACTATTCAAAAAACATGGCGGCAATTCAGCCTTAAGCTTCATTATAAAAATTAAAAACAAGCCTTAAGCATCACATCAAATTTATTTTTTTTCCTCCAGATGTCACCTCGCTAGAGCTTCTAGAATTTTCTCCAACTTTAAACCTCAAATCATTAGTCCTTCCTTCGTCATTCTGATAGAAACTTTTGTCAGTTAAGCATCTTTTCAATTTATTCTACTTTATTAAATTCTCAAAATGTCTGGCCGTGGAAAAGGAGGTAATATTAATTTATTAAACACATTTATATATTTAATAAATATAATAATTCAACTTTAATATTATTATTTATTAATTTTCAGTTATTAAATATTAATTTATTTTACAGAAATTTTATAATATTAAAATTAGCCGACATTTTTAATTTTTTTTTTTCTATTTGTTAAATTGGAGCAAAAAAAATATTTATTAAAAATTACACTTCAAATTTTTTAATTATTAATTTAATATTTTTACAGGAAAAGCAAAGGGAAAGTCAAAGACTCGTAGCAGCCGTGCGGGTCTCCAATTTCCAGTTGGACGTGTTCACCGTCTTCTTCGCAAAGGAAATTATGCTGAGAGAGTTGGTGCCGGTGCTCCGGTATATTTATCCGCCGTTTTGGAATATTTAGCTGCTGAAGTACTCGAGTTAGCTGGAAACGCCGCTCGTGACAACAAAAAGTCAAGGTACGCGCCAAAATAAATTATTTTACCGCCAATTTGTTATTTTTATGATAAATATTGAAAAATAGATAGTTAATTTTTTGTTAAAAAAAAATATTTATTTTAATATTTAAAAAAAATGTTATTTTAATATGTGAGAATTAAATTATTAATTAATAAGTGAATAGTTAAAGAAAAATACGCGCGAAAAAAATTACACGTGGCCGCGCGCAAAAGTAAGATGGCCGCAAAATAGGCGCCAAAGTTAGCGTCATATGTGGACTGTAAACACCTGTTAGTTTTTTTTTTCCTTATTTTTAGAATTTATTTTTTAATTTTAGTCTTTTGAAATTTTTATTTAAAAAAATATATATACATATTTGGAAAATTTATATAACTTAGTAAAGTAAAGTAAAAATTTATTTTTTATTTGATAAATCCTGAAAATAATTATAGTACAATTGAAACATTTCTAATAATTTTTATAAATTATTAAATAGATATATTATAGCCAAAAAAATTGATTTTAAAAATAATTCTTAAACATTATTGCTATTTTTAACTAAAATAAATTATTATTTTTTTTAAAGCAAAATAATTATTAGAAACCTAGCAGTCACTATGTGACTGCCGTGACTTGTGAACTATAAATAAATGAAATTTTGCTTTATTATAAATAGTGACATTTGTTAAATTGCATTGTACTTGTTTAACTATTGACTTTTTTAAAGATATAAGCTCATCCTAATGTTACACTCATCGAGACCTTTCATTTGATTACCCACATCAGTTTTTCATATATTTTATATATTTATATATATATTATATATTTAAATATATGAAAATGCATGTGGGTACTCAAATGAAAGGTCTCAATGAGTGTAATCTCAAGATGAGCTTATATCTTTAAAAATGTCAATAGTTGACAAAATACAACGTCATTTCTTAATTATTGATATTTTTTAAGATATAAGCTCATCCTGACGTTACACTCATCGAGACCTTTCATTTGATTACCCACATCAATTTTTCATATATTTTATATACTTATATATATATTATATATTTAAATATATGAAAAATATATGAAAATGCATGTGGGTACTCAAATGAAAGGTCTCAATGAGTGTAATCTCAAGGTGAGCTTATATCTTTAAAAATGTCAATAGTTCACAAGATACAAGGTCATTTCTTATATATAAAATAAGATACAAGGTAATTTTTTAATTATAAAATAATATTCTAGACCTAATTTATTTTTGAATAAAAATCAAGAAAAATAATCAAATATTTGGTAATTTTAGTATTATAAATAATTACTAAAATTATTTCGTGTTTCTCGAAATATTATTTTTAATATGAGTGATGGATTGTTAAATTTATGAAGAAAAAAAAATAATTCTTCAAAACAATAGCTTCTATTTTTCACTAAAATAAGTAAACATTTATTTTTTCAAAACAAAATAATTCTCTATTAAAAATTAAAATATTAAAAATTAATATTTTTATTCACAGAATTATCCCTCGTCACATCCAACTGGCAATCCGTAACGACGAAGAATTAAATAAATTACTGTCCGGAGTGACCATTTCCCAGGGAGGAGTTCTTCCTAACATCCAGGCTGTCTTGTTACCCAAGAAGACTTCCACCAGTGGCGGTGGATCAAGTGGCAAAGGCGACAAAGCTTCCCAGGAATTTTAGTTTTAGTTTCTTAAATTAATTAATGGTCAATTATCCATTTATAATTTTTTAAGTGCCTTATTTTAAAGATTTTAACTATTAAGATAATATTTTCATAGACGACGTCAATCAAAAACAAAAAAATAAAACAATGTAATAGTATCTATACATGTTTAAGTATTTTAAAATAATTGTGTTTGTTAACATTGTATGTATGTACATGAAAAAAAAAAAACAAATAATTATATTTAATTTAATAAATTTTTCCTGTAATGTAATATTTTAACAAAAATAATTCTGCTGTAAAATAAAAAATAATTAATAAGTTAACGAAGTTTAATGTTTGATAAAATCCAAATCTTATTGTCATTTTTATACACTTGATTAATAAATAACATTTTTTTTTAGTAAAATAATTTTTATTTTTTTATTTATAAATTTAATTTTAAGTAATTTTTTTTTTATATTTAAACAACAAAATACGTAAAATTTAATTTATTTATTTAATTCAATACGTTTAAAGAGTTGCAAGTACGTTGGCACTACGACTAAGAATGCTGATTGTAGTTCATGAAATCAAAAGCACAGTGATCAGCAATATAATTACAAACATTGCAAAAATAGCAAAAATTTTAAGAATTTTAACAGAGCACCTCGGACAAGCGTTGTTGTTTCAATAACTTTAATTTAATTTAACATGTTTGCACTTTTTTTTTTAATTTAAATTTTGTAATAATAAAATAAATTAAATTTATGTAACTGTGATTCTCTCTTGCTATGGGAACATGTATTTTTTTTGAGCAATAAAGTATTATTATTATTATTATTACAAGTGATTTTTTAAATAAATTAAGAAATAATAATTTAACAAACACTTAAAAATTTTTATAACAATTAAATTTATAATGAAAAAAAATTCTAAAAGTAAAAATTTTAAGTGCAAATTTTTGAAAATATTTTTTTTTATACACTCACACGGAAAGAACAAGATTATACTGGATATAATCCCAGATTATACTGAGTGAAAAAAAATTTCAGATAGTAGCTAGTATAATCCAGATTATAATGAGTATAATCTAGATTATAATGAGTATAATCCAGATATTATTCAGTATAATCTGGATTATACTAGCTACCATCTGAAAATTTTTTTGTATTTTTTTTGAGCAATAAAGTATTATTATTATTATTATTACAAGTGATTTTTTAAATAAATTAAGAAATAATAATTTAACAAACACTTAAAAATTTTTATAACAATTAAATTTATAATGAAAAAAAATTCTAAAAGTAAAAATTTTAAGTGCAAATTTTTGAAAATATTTTTTTTTATACACTCACACGGAAAGAACAAGATTATACTGGATATAATCCCAGATTATACTGAGTGAAAAAAAATTTCAGATAGTAGCTAGTATAATCCAGATTATAATGAGTATAATCTAGATTATAATGAGTATAATCCAGATATTATTCAGTATAATCTGGATTATACTAGCTACCATCTGAAATTTTTTTCGCCTCAGATGTCACTGAGTATAATCTGAGATGGTATCCAGTGTCATCTTGTTCTTTCCGTGCATAATAATTAATATTTTTTTATATTTAAAAAATTTAATTTTATTATTAATAATTATTTTTGAAATTTTCCCGCCATTTCTAAGCGCATTTTTGCGAAAAAATTTAAAATTATCCGGCAAAATTCGGAAAAATCTCGAACCGGACGGCTTAATGCCAATTTTTAATTTTCCTAGTAAAAATTTCAATTTTTTAATATTTATTAAAAAATATTTTTTAACTTATTAATAAGTTAATAAAATAAAAGATTATTTAAAGATAATAAATTATTAAAAATATTTTTTTAAAATTGCAAAAAAAATAAAACATGCAAAAAAAAGTGCGCTTGGAAAAAATAGTCCCTAAAAAAAATTATTTTAAATTAAATTAAAAAAAAAAAAAACAATTTTTATTTATTATTTTAGTAAAAAAAAATTATTAAATAAATTAAGATCGTTATTTTTTAGTAGATTGTTCCTAACGTGGGCACGAACTAGAACATTTAGAACAGAAAGCGCATTGCTACACCGGATAGGTCCCACGCTGTTAAAGGTGTTAAAGATGGTTAGGTGGTCAAGTCCATTTTTGAGCGGGCCTAAATAGAAGAGTTCACCAATTTTTTAGGTAGCTAGATCATTAGTGCGGTTGATCATTGCAGTGTCAAGTACTTACTGTTTACTTATTTTATTTTTAACACTACAACATAAACACGTGGTTTATTTAAATTTCCTTTAAAGTTTAAACTTTTAAAAATACTCGAGGTAAGAAATTATTTTTAGTTATTTTATTTAAATTTTTGGAAAATAAAATTCTTAAATTAAAATTAATTTTCTATTTTTGTAGAAAAAAAAAGAATTTTTTATTTTCTTTTTTTTTTTGCATGGTCGAATTTTTCTTGGGCTTGAAATGTAACACCTAGATTTTCTTTTTTATAATTTTTTTTGTTTTTTTTGTTAACTATTTAAAATAATTATTAATTTTTTTAATTTTAATAAAATTAATCATAAATATGAATAAAAAAAAATCATTATATTAAAGTTGCCAAAATATTTAGAGTTTAATTATTTTTTTTAGAGTATATAAAAAATAAATAAAATTTTATGAAAATTTATTAATTGTTAAAAATATACATTAAATTTTTTTAAATAAATTATATAAATATTTAATTTACAACTTTTGTATCAAATATAATTTATAGTGTTTGTATTAAGTATATTTTAAAATATTATAGAGGATATTGGTGTCTTAAAAGGACCACGTGTTTTTAAAACACGTGTTATCTAGATAATATTAATATACATATATTTTGTTTGGTTTTAAGAATTTGGCGACTCGGTTGAAATTTAACAAAAAAATCTTTCTTTTAAATAAAGAAAATTATAATTATTTTATTGGGGTTTTGTAGATTATTAACAATATATTGTAACTAACAAGAACTTCTTAATGATACTCTAACAGTAACAACAACAACAACTACAACAACAATAATAATATATTTTAGCATCCGCTATATGTCATGCAATAATTTTTTTTTTATTTTATTTTTTTTTTATTTTATTTTTTTTTATTTTATTTTTTTTTTATTTTTTTTTTATTTTTTTTTTATTTTTTTTTTTTTAGGATGTTTTCAACATGTGATTACAGAAATTTCATTATTTTAACAGCCAGTCCTTCCTTTTTCTCGCGTCGCATTCACTGCGAAAAATGGTACTATCCTTGTTGCATTCATGATTACAAAGCTATTGCAGAGTTCTATTTTTCTTTTCAACAAATGAGAATTTTGAAAAAAAAAAAAAAAAAATGCTCTACTACAAAATAGATGATTAAGAAATTTATTACGTAGCAGAGCGTTTTTTACAAAATTCTTCTTTGTCTAGAAGAGAAATGTAAAGCTGCAATCGTAGCGATCGGCTGTTAACAATAAAAAAATAAGTTCACACAAATATACAATTTTTTTTTTACATACAAGAAAAAGTAACGCATTATTCAGTCTCATACTTTTAAAATTAACTCAAAGACCACACCAGGATCTATCACAGGACATAACCTAAATTTTAATGGCATGTTTAAAACTAATCAAGTATTTTTCTTTTTTTTATGTGTTTGGGTATTTAGTTATACCATTAAAAATCTAGGTATGTAATTGACTTTCCAGTAGTATGTGTTCTTATGTAAATAACAAGTAGTTTGGTTTAAAAAAATGGTATAAAAATTTCCTTGTCGAGTATCCATATTGTAAACAGCGATATGATTCTTTAGAAAATGGCATCCGGAAAATGGTACTACTCTAAAGACCAATTAGAAAATTCTCCCAGCTTAAAAGACGATATTCAGGCTGCCAGAGAATTAAAGTACCGCCAGGACGCCGCTGAATTAATTCACATAATGGGCGATAAATTGCATTTAACCAACGCAATAATCAGTTCAGCGGTGACGTATATGCACAGGTTTTACGTCTATCATTCATTCGTCCGTTTCCACCGTTACCCGGTAGCCGCAGCTTCAATTTTCCTGGCAGCTAAATCTGAGAGTATGCCGAAGAATTTGGAAAGTGTGATCCGAACTCTTTATTCGTGCATCTACAAAAAAAAGTGTAATGAGGTCAACACAGAATCCAAGGATTTCATATCTGAAGCAGAAAATGTGCTATATATCGAGCATATAATGATTCAGACCCTGGGATTCGAGCTTGATATTGAGCACTCTCATGCTTATGTGCTCAAATTCTGCCAGGAGATCAAGGCGAACAAAGATTTTGCTCAGGCTTGCTATTTCCTGGCTACGGAGCTTTTGGAGACGACGACAATGTGCCTCCAATATTCCCCCAAAGTAACGGCAAGCTTTTGCATTTACTTTGTGAGCAAGCTGACCAATTGGGAAATCTTCGAGAGTTATCAAGGTAAAAATTGGGTTTATCCTGATAATGACTCGGATATCTCTTTGGAGTTGTTGAAAAAGCTGGAGGAAGAGTTCAAGGTGATATTCGACCACAGCAGGACTCGCTGGAGGCAAAAGGTTTTGAGTATTGTCCAGGGTCGAAATTCACCACAACGCACGGATGATAGGGTGTCAGAGGCTTCAACTTCAAGTGATGGAAGCTCACCGCCACAACAAGCTGGTTTGGAGCCAGTTCTTGGGCAAGGTATGCCTCAACAACTTGCTAACCCAAGCTTGAAGTTTGAGGAAGTTCCAAGCGACCAAGGACAGCAATTAGCTCAGCCGATTAAAAAATTCTTGACATCTGCTTCAAAATCCGAAGATGTACGTCCAAAACCGAAGATTTCCAACAATTCAGTGTCTATCTTCAATCCGGATGTACCAGATGCTGAAGTCCAGAAGATATTGTCCAAGTTGGTGGCTAAGAACAATCAAGGCACACTTGATAAGACTAGTCACTCAACTGGGGCACTTTCCAAGGATCTTCCTGAATTGGGTGATCCAAAACCTTCTACGAGTGGTTACAAAGCTAATCACTCTAGGCCGTCGCTAGTTGTTACCATTCCTAGAGACAGGATCAACCAAGCTTTGGATGGTAAGCTTGAAGAGGTCAATCGTCCACCAATTAGGTTGAAGATTAAGATTCCATCTCAAAAGCCTGATAAAAAGGAATACTGTGTTAAGTATTTATCGACTTCAAATAGAGATGATGCTTCACCAACGAGTAAGAAATTTAAGAATTAGTAATAAGGGTGGTGGAATAATTAATTTAGTCGATTTTTTTAGTAAAGTAATAAGTCAATTTTTTCAACTGGGATAATAATGTATATAGATAGAAAAATAATAGTATATATATTTTTAAATTTTATATAAGTATTTTTTTAAGTCAAAAAAAATTTCTAATATTTTTATATATTTTTTTACATCAATAATTTTAAATTGTGATATAAAGTGCCATTAAGAAGCCAAAATAATTTGTAATATATTGTGATATAAAATTTTACTGACAATTAATTATTAAGAATGTACTTGTTACGTAGTATTTAATACCTTTTTATACTTCTGCTACTTGTACCTGATAAATAATAGAACAAAATGTAAAGAAAGTTATTTATTAAATAAATCAAATTTATTAAACTTCAATGTTTTATTTATTTTACATTTAGTTACATTTGATTTAATTTGGTCCTAGGTGTGATGAAGGATTCTCTATTCCTGAAGCAGAATCTCTTTCCTTCCTGAGTCGTTCTAAATGGCTATTAAACAACTTATACTCTTCGCCGGTAGCGGCCTGCCTCCAAAGTTTCAGTATCTTCTGTTCATCGAGCTGAACACCAGAACTTAGGATCCTAAGTAGGCAATTCCTGCGATTCTGTTGCCGCTTTTGGTTTCTAGTTAGGCAAGGGAGAACTGGCAGAGTTTCGCTATCCAAGGGTATTATTGCTCTTTCCGGTTGACATGGTTTAGGTTCAACGGGCGGAACCACGTTATCTCCAACTGGTGGAACCACGTTGCTTGTAACGGGTAAAACCACGTTATTTCCAATTGGTGGAACCATGTTACATCTGACTGGTGGAACCATGTTCCCTCTAATTGGTGGAACCATGTTACATCTGACTGGTGGAACCATGTTCCCTCTAATTGGTGGAACCATGTTACATCTGACTGGTGGAACCATGTTACCTCTAATTGGTGGAACCATGTTACATCTGACTAGTGGAACCATGTTACCTCCAACTGGTGGAACCATGTTACCTCTAATTGGTGGAATCATGTTACATCTGACTGGTGGAACTAAGTTATTTCCAATTGGTGGAACTAAGTTATTTCCAATTGGTGGAACCATGTTACCTCCAAAAGGTGGAACCACGCTATCTTGATGTTGGAACATTGTCTCCAAAGCTTGTTGACTCTGTTGTAGTGCTGTGATGTCAGTTTGAATAGCTACCGTTCGAAATTCTTTGTATCTTTTTCTAGATCTTGAATCCTCCGAACTGTCCCTAGAGCGGCGTCGATATCTAGGACTAGGACTATTATCACGACTTCCGTATCTTCTTCTAGATCTTGAATCATCCAAAGATTCCCTAGAGCGGCGTCGATATCTAAGACTATTCTCACGACTCCTGTATCTTCTTTTAGGTCTAGAATCTTCTGGACTTCTTCGAAAACGGCGTTGATTTCTAGGACTATTATCACGACTCCTGTTTCTTTTTCTAGATCTTGAATCCTCTGAAGATTCCCGAGAGCGGCGTCGGTATCTAGGACTATTATCACGACTCCTGTATTTTTTTGTGGGTCTAGAGTCTTCTGGACTTCTTTGAGAGCGGCGTTGAAATCTAGGACTATTTTCCCGGCTTCTGTCTCTTTCCTTGGATGTGTTTGTTGGTCTTGATGAATCAGGAGGAGTTTCTCTAAACTTGCGTTGATATCTAGGACTATTTTCCCGGCTTCTGTCTCTTTCCTTGGATGTGTTTGTTGGTCTTGATGGATCAGGAGGAGTTTCTCTAAATTTGCGTTTGTATTGAGGACTATTTTCATGAATCCTGTCACTTCTTTTATCTCTGTCATCTTGGTCTGATTTCTTCTCGTCTTTCCCTGTAACAGAACTATTTTAGGCCAAATTTTCAGCTAAAGCTACAGTATAGTTTATTCCTGGTATCCTATTTTAATTTTAAAGTATTATAACCCAAATTTGTCATAACAATGCCTAGATAAAAGATACACGGCGAAGCCGTAGCTTACTTTGCCTGTTACTCTTTTATCTGGCTCATATAGAAGTTACTGCCTGGGTAGAAGATTCACGGCAAAGCCGAGGTTTTTTCTGCCTGTATTTCTTCCAACCGGCTAACTATTATGGCTTCATCTTGTATTATAGCTTCAATTCTGGTGGTTTAATAATTAATTTAAATAAATCTACTAAAACAATAATTTTTCCATTTTTAAATTCAAAATTCGTGAACTATAAGATATAAATTAATAAAATATTCGTGTAATTTAAGTTTAAAAATGATCAATAATTTATATTAGTAATTTGTAATTCACAAAATAAAATTCAAAATCAAACTAATTTTATAATCAAGCTGATCTATAACAATATAAAATTATCTGTATAAATTTTACCTCTAGTTATCACTTTTAATTAATACAATCTTCATATTAGAAATTTGAATCGCGCGCTACGCGCGCGCCTCAATTTTAACCATTATTGAATCGACCTATGACTAACTTCATGACTTTCATATATTTTTATTTAGAATGATTAGCAATTAATTATTAATTCTTAATGTCATTTATAATTTTCTGATATTTAATAACTAAATTTAATCCTTTATTAAACGATATTAATATTATTCAATCTTTAATTAATTTCCATTCATCATCGAATAATTATATTGACCTAACCTTAAAAAAATTAATTTAAATTTGCCCAAAATTCCAGAACACTTACATTCTCTTGGATATCTCTGTCCTTCAACTTCAACGGGGAAATTCATGTCGCTGCTCTATATCTATGTATCTCCAACCTCTTACAGACGCGATGCTCTCTCTTTTTTCACGTTCTTTATGTTCAATTATCTATATTGGCGTTTCTCGTACTTGTCACTAAATTTAATATATAATATTTTTGCAACACCGATTATTTTATTCAATTATTATAATAAATAATAATTAATAATTATCGCTTCTTGTTACAGAAAAATTAAGGAAGAATTAATATTCACCTGTGAGCTTGTTGAATGGGTGTTGCTATTTGGAATTATTTACTTACCTTCCTCTCCCCTTCTTTTCTACCACTTTTACTCCCACTCTTGAATCCAACCTACAAAACCTACAGCTATATATATGTATAAATCCGTCGATAACTAATTCATAACTGGTGAAGAACCTTCAACAGGTAATAAAGGTCCTGTCAAATATTTTTTCTCCATGGAAAAGTGCACTTTTTATTAATAATAATAATAATTTTAAAAAGAAGAAATAATAAATTAACAATTTTTTTAATTAATTAAGAAGAATTATACTAATTTTATTATTTAAATTTAAAAATATATTATTTAAGCTAAGCGCTGAATTTTTAAATTATTCGCGCGCTTTAAGTTGTAATCAATTTTTTGTAATTATAATAATAATAATTATGACATACCAATTTTTTAATTAATAATTAATAATTAATTTAGCAAATATTTAATAAAATTTTAAGTTCTTTTAACAAACAAATTGTATAAAAAAAAAATGACAAGTAAAAATTTTAACAAATTAAAAACACAAAAAAAAATAATTTTTTGTTAAATAAATAAAATTAAAAAACTAAAAAAAAGATTATTTGTAAAAATCAAAATTAAATTAGCCGAGATTTAAAAATTTATTTTATTCAAAAAATTATTGCAAAAAAATGAAAAAAACTAATTATTTATATAAAAACTTTAAAAACTCTAATTGCAATTTAAAAAAAATTATTGAGTTCTAATTCAACAATTGAAAAGTTAGTTGACTAGTATAATTCTATTAAAAAAATTATTGTAAAAAAAATGAAAAAAAAAAATTTAATTTATAAACCTTAAAAACTCTAATTGCAATTAAAATTAATATTTAGTACTATTTTATTAGTAATTAAAAAAGTCAGCTGACTAGTAATATTTTTAAAAAATAAATTAATAATTTCTTAAATAATTCCCGTCATTAGAAAAATGCGCAACATAAAAATTTTTCGTAAAAAACTACGGAGAATATTTATAAAAATAAAAATTAATTTAACCGAGATTTAAAAATTGCAAAAAAAAAAATTAAGGATGCAAAAAAAAAGCGCGCATTTAATGAACGCCGATTTGGAAAAAATAGTACCTAAAAAAAAATTATTTTAAATTAAATTAAAAGAAAAAACAATTTTTATTTATTATTTTCATAAAATAGATTATTAAATAAATTAATATCTTTATTTTTTATTAGATTGTTCCTAACAGAGGCGCGATCTAGAACATTTAGAACAGAAAGCGCACTGATACACCGGATATAAGTTCCACGCTGTAAAAGGTGTTGAAGATGGTCAGGTGGTCGAGTCCATTTTTGAGCGGGCCTAAATAGAAGAGTTCACCAATTTTTCAGGTAGCTAGATCATTAGTGCGGTTGATCATTGCAGTGTCAAGTACTTTCTGTTTACTTACTTTATTTCTAACACAACATAAACACGTGGTTTATCTAAATTTGCTTTAAAGTTTAAACTTTTAAAAATACTAAAGGTAAGAAATTATTTTATTTAAATTTTTGAAAAACAAAATTCTTAAATTAAAATTAATTAACTATTTTGTTGAAAAAAAATGGATTTTTAATTTTCTTTTTTTTTTTGCATGGGTGAATTTTTTTGGGTTTGAAATATAACACCTAAATTTTCTTTTTCAATTTTTGATTAACTATTTAAAATAATTATTAATTTTTTTTAAATTAATCATAAATATGAATAAAAAAAAAATTACTATATTAAAGTACTTTAATTCGCAACGTTGCGAAAATTTCTATCGTTTAATTATTTTTTCAGAGAATATAAAAATTAAGTGAAATTTTATCAAAATTTATTAAATGTTAAAAATATACTTTAAATTTTATTAAATAAATAGTATAAATTTTTAATTTACAATTTTTATATCAAATATAATTTAAAGTGTTTGTATTAAGTATATTTTGAAATATTATAGAGGATATTGGTGTCTTAAAAGGACCACGTGTTTTTAAAACACGTGCTATCTATATAATATTAATATACATATATTTTGTTTGGTTTTAAGAATTTGGCAACTGGGTTGAAATTTAACAAAAATTTTTTTATTTCAATTAGAAAAAATTATAATTATTTTATGGGATTTTTGTAGATTGCTAGCAATATATTGTAACTAACAAAAACTTCTTAATGATACTCTAACAATAACAACAACAACAATAATAATAATAATATATTTTAGCATCCGCTATAAGTCATACAATAATTTTTTTTTTATTTTATTCATTTTTTTTAAGGATAGTTTTAACATGTGATTACAGAAATTTCATTATTTTAACAGCCGGTCCCCCTTTTTCTCGCGTCGCACTCACTGCAAGAAAAGTACTATCCTTGTTGCGTTTATGATTACAAAGCTATTGCAGTTTTATGTTTTTCCTTTTACTAAATGAGAATTTTGAAAAAAAAAAAAAAAATGCTCTACTACAAAATAGATGATTAAGAAATTTATTACGTAGCAGAGCGTTTTTTACAAAATTCTTCTTTGTCTAGCAGAGAAATATAAAGCTGCAATCGTAGCGATCGGCTGTTAACAATAAAAAAATAAGTTCACACAAATATACAATTTTTTTTTTACATACAAGAAAAAGTAACGCATTATTCAGTCTCATACTTTTAAAATTAACTCAAAGACCACACCAGGATCTATCACAGGACATAACCTAAATTTTAATGGCACGTTTAAAACTAATCAAGTATTTTTCTTTTTTTTATGTGTTTGGGTATTTAGTTATACCATTAAAAATCTAGGTATGTAATTGACTTTCCAGTAGTATGTGTTCTTATGTAAATAACAAGTAGTTTGGTTTAAAAAAATGGTATAAAAATTTCCTTGTCGAGTATCCATATTGTAAACAGCGATATGATTCTTTAGAAAATGGCATCCGGAAAATGGTACTACTCCAAAGACCAATTAGAAAATTCTCCCAGCTTAAAAGACGATATTCAGGCTGCCAGAGAATTAAAGTACCGCCAGGACGCCGCTGAATTAATTCACATAATGGGCGATAAATTGCATTTAACCAACGCAATAATCAATTCAGCGGTGACGTATATGCACAGGTTTTACGTCTATCATTCATTCGTCCGTTTCCACCGTTACCCGGTAGCCGCAGCTTCAATTTTCCTGGCAGCTAAATCTGAGAGTATGCCGAAAAATTTGGAAAGTGTGATCCGAACTCTTTATTCGTGCATCTACAAAAAAAAGTGTAATGAGGTCAACACAGAATCCAAGGATTTCATATCTGAAGCAGAAAATGTGCTATATATCGAGCACATAATGATTCAGACCCTGGGATTCGAGCTTGATATTGAGCACTCTCATGCTTATGTGCTCAAATTCTGCCAGGAGATCAAGGCGAACAAAGATTTTGCTCAGGCTTGCTATTTCCTGGCTACGGAGCTTTTGGAGACGACGACAATGTGCCTCCAATATTCCCCCAAAGTAACGGCAAGCTTTTGCATTTACTTTGTGAGCAAGCTGACCAATTGGGAAATCTTCGAGAGTTATCAAGGTAAAAATTGGGTTTATCCTGATAATGACTCGGATATCTCTTTGGAGTTGTTGAAAAAGCTGGAGGAAGAGTTCAAGGTGATATTCGACCACAGCAGGACTCGCTGGAGGCAAAAAGTTTTGAGTATTGTCCGGGGTCAGAATTCACGAACAACGCACGGATGCTTTCATGTCAGCGGCTTCAACTTCAAGTGATGGATGCTCACCGCCACAACAAGCTGGTTCACAGTCAGTTCTTGGGCAAGGTATGCCTCAACAACTTGCTAACCCAAGCTTGAAGTTTGAGGAAGTTCCAAGCGACCTAGGACAGCAATTAGCTCAGCCAATTTAAAAATCCTTGACATCTGCTGCAAAATCCGAAGATGTACGTCCAAAACCGAATATTTCCAACAATTCGGTGTCTATCTTCAATCCGGATGTTCCAGAGGCCGAAATCCAGAAGATATTGTCCAAATTGGTGACTAGGAACAATCAATGCACAATTGATAAGAATAGTCACTCTGGGGCACTTTCCAAGGATCTTCCTGAATTGGTGGGTGATCCAAAACCTTCTACGAGTGGTTACAAAGCCAATAATCACTCCAGGCCGTCGCTAGTTGTTACCATTCCTAGAGACAGGATCAAAAAAGCTTTAGATAGTAAGCTTGAAGAGGTCAATCGTCCACCAATTAAGCTAAAAATTAAGATTCCATCTCTTAAGTCTGATAAAAAGGATTATTCTGTTAAGTATTTATCGACTTTAAATAGAGATGATGTTTTATCGCCAAATAAAAAATTTAAAAATTAGTTATAAGGGTGGTGGAATATTTAATTTAGTCAATTGTTTTAGTATAGTAATAAGTCAATTTTTTCAACTGGGATAATGTATATAAATAGAAAAATAATAGTATATATTTCTTAAATTTTATACAACTATTTTTCTGTCAAAAAAAAATTTCTTATATTTTTTTACATCAATAATATTAAATTGTGATATAAAGTGCCGAAATAATTTGACTTGTAATATATTGTGATATAAAATTTTACTGTTTATTTTTAAGAACGTACTTGTTAAGTAGTATTAATACCTTTTTATACTTCTGCTACTTGTACCTGATAAATAATAGAACAAAATGTAAAAAAAAGCTATTTATTAAATAAATCAAATTTATTAAACTTCAATGTTTTATATATTTTACATTTAGTTACATTTGATTTAAAAATGCTCCTAGGTGTGATGAAGGATTTTCTATTCCTGAAGCAGAATCTCTTTCCTTCCTGAGTCGTTCTAAATGGCTATTAAACAACTTATACTCTTCACTGGTAGCGGCCTTCTTCCAAAGTTTAAGTATCTTCTGTTCGTCGAACTGAACACCAGAACTTAGGATCCTAAGTAGGCAATTCCTGCGATTCTGTTGCCGCTTTTGGTTTCTAGTTAGGCAAGGGAGAACTGGCAGAGTTTCGCTATCCAAGGGTATTATTGCTCTTTCCGGTTGACATGGTTTAGGTTCAACGGGCGGAACCACGTTATCTCCAACTGGTGGAACCACGTTGCTTGCAACGGGTAAAACCACGTTATTTCCCACTGGTGGAACCATGTTACCTTTAATTGGTGGAGCCATGTTACCTTTAATTGGTGGAACCATGTTACCTCTAATTGGTGGACCCATGTTACCTCTAAATGGTGGATCCATGTTACCTCTAAATGGTGGATCCATGTTATTTCCAACTGGTGGAACCATGTTACCTCTAAATGGTGGATCCATGTTATTTCTAACTGGTGGAACCATGTTACCTCTAACGGGTGGAACCATGTTATTTCCAAATGGTGGAACCATGTCACCTCCAATTGGTGGAACCATGTTACATCTGGCTGGTGGAACCATGTTATTTCGAACTGGTGGAACCATGCTATTTCGAACTGGTGGAACCATGTTACTTCTAATTGGTGGAACCATGTTACATCTGAATGGTGGAACCATGTTGCCTCTAATTGGTGGAACCATATTACCTCCAATTGGTGGAACCATGTTACATCTGACTGGTGGAACCATGTTACCTCTAAATGGTGGATCAATGTTACCTCTAAATGGTGGATCCATGTTATTTCCAACTGGTGGAACCATGTTACCTCTAAATGGTGGATCCATGTTATTTCCAACTGGTGGAACCATGTTACCTCTAAATGGTGGATCCATGTTATTTCCAACTGGTGGAACCATGTTGCCTCTAACGTGCGGAACCACGTTACCTTGATGATGGAACAATGTCTCCAAAGCTTGCTGACTCTGTTGCAGTGCTGTAATATTGGTTTGAATAGCTACCGTTCGAAATTCCTTGTATCTTCTTCTAGATCTTGAATCATCCGAACTGTCCCGAGAGCGGCGTCGATATCTAGGACTATTCTCACGACTCCTGTATCTTTTTCTAGGTCTAGAATCTTCTGGACTTCTTCGAAAGCGGCGTTGATCTCCAGGACTATTTTCATGACACCTGCATCTTCTTAAAGGTCTAGAGTTTTCTGGACTTCTTCGAAAGCGGCGTTGATTTCTAGGACTATTATCACGACTCCTGTATCTTTTTGTAGGTCTAGAGTCTTCTGGACTTCTTTGAGAGCGGCGTTGAAATCTAGGACTATTTTCCCGACTTCTGTCTCTTTCCTTGGATCTGTTTACAGGTCTAGATAAATCAGGAGTTTCTCTAAACTTGCGTTGATATCTAGGACTATTTTCCCGGCTTCTGTCTCTTTCCTTGGATGTGTTTGTTGGTCTTGATGAATCAGGAGGAGTTTCTCTAAATTTGCGTTTGTATTGAGGACTAATTTCACGAATCCTGTCACTTTTTTTATCTCTGTCATCTTGGTCTGATTTCTTCTCATCTTTCCCTGTAATAGAACTATTTTAGGCCAAATTTTCAGCTAAAGCTACAATATAGTTCATTCCTGGTATCTTATTTTAATTTTCGAGTATTAAAAACCAAATTTGTCATAACAATACCTAGATGAAAGATTCACGGCGAAGCCGTAGCTTACTTTGCCTGTTACTCTTTTATCTGGCTCATATAGAAGTTACTGCCTGGGTGGAAGATTCACGGCAAAGCCGAGACTTTATCTGCCAGTGTTTCTTCCAACCGGCTAACTAGTATCGCTTCATCTTGTATTTTAGCTTTAATTCTGATGGTATAATAATTAATTTAAATAAATCTACTAAAACAATAATTTTTCCATTTTTAAATTCAAAATTCGTGAACTATAAGATTAAAATTAATGAAATCTTCACTTAAATTTAAATTTAAAAATTATCAATGATTTATAATTTACAATATAAAATTCAGAATCAAACTAATTTTATAATCAAAAACTGATCTATAACAATATAAAATTATCTGTAAAAATTATACCTCTAGTTATCATTTATCATAATTAATTTAATCCTCATATTAGAAATTTGAATAGCGCGCGCTTTTATTTCAACGAATTATAAACCATGGCCTGGTTTTTGCGAGTTTCGACCTATGACTAACTTCACAACTTTCATATATTTTTATTTAGAGAATTAGCAATCAATTATTAATTCGTAATATCATTTATAATTTTCTGATATTTAACTAAATTTAATCCTTTTGTTAAACAATATTAATTATTCAGTCTCTTATTAACTTTTATTTATCACTAAATAATTATAATGATTTAACCTTAAAAAAATTAATTTCAATTTACCCGAAATTCCAGAACACTTACATTCTCTTGTATATCTCTGTCTTTCAACTTCAACGGCGAAGTCCATGTCGATGCTCTATGTCTATATATCTCCAACTCTTTTTATTTACAGACGCGATGCTCTCTTTTTTCACGTTCTTTATGTTTGATTATCGGCGTTTCTCGTAGTCACTAATTTTAATAATTTATTTCTATAACACCCAGTCTTTTATTTAGACATTATTATTAATAATAATTAATTAGTTATAATTAATAATTATTGCTTCTTGTTACAGAAAAATTAAAGAAGAATTAATATTCACGTGAGTTATTGTTGAATGGCGTTAAATTACTATTTGCTATTATTTACCTTACCTTCCCTTTCCCTTTCTCTTCTGCCACTTTTACTCCCACTCTTAAATCCAACCTAAAACTATATATATGCATAAATCCGTCGATAACTAATTAATAACAAGTAAATGATCTTCAGCAGGTAAAAAAGGTTAAATATTATTTTTTTTTCTATTATAATAATTATTATTATTAATAATAATTATTAACAATAATAATTTTGAAAGAAGAAATAATAAATTAAAAATTATTTTAATTAATTGAGAAGAAATATACTAATTTCATTATTTAAATATAAAAATTCAAAAAAATATATTATTGAGGCGCTGAATTTTTAAATTATTCGCGCGCTTTAAATTAAAATTAATTTTTTATAAATATAATAATAATAATAATAATATATCAATTTTGTAATAAATAATTAATTTAGCAAATATATGAAAAAATTTGAAGAATTTTTTTTAACAAATAAATTATATAGTAATAAAATTGACAAATAATAATTTTAATAAATTAAAAGCACAATTTAAAAAAAAAAATAATTTTTTTTTTATTAAAATAATTATTACAATAAAATAAAAAAAATAATTCATTCATAAAAAAACTTTTAAAAACTCTAATTGCAAATTAAAAAAATATTATTTAGGTATAATTTAATAATTGAAAAAGTCAGCTAACTAGTATAAATTTTTATTAAAAAAATTATTGCAGAAAAAATGAAAAAAACATTTTTATTTATAAAAAACTTCAAAAACTAAAAATTATTATTTAGTACTATTGTATAATTAAAAAAAAAAAACATTAAAAAAGTCAGCTGACTAATAATATTTTTACAAAATAAATTAATAATTTTTTAAATAATTCCCGCCATTAGATAAATGCGCAGTATAAAATTTTTTTGCAAAAAAACGGGGAAGAATATTTATAAAAATTAAAATTAATTTAACCGAGATTTAAAAATAATAAAAAAATTATTTATAAAAAACTCTAATTGCAATTAAAAAAAAAATTATTTAATTCGAATTTAATAATTAAAAAAAGTCAGCTGATTAGTATAAATTTTTATTAAAAAAATTATTACAAAAAAAATAAAAAAAAAAATTTATTTATAAAAAATTTCAAAAACTCTAATTGCAATTAAAAAAAAAACATTTAGTTCTAATTTAATAATTAAAAAAAAAGAAATTAAAAAAGTTGGCTTATTTTAAAAAAAATAAATAATTTTTAAATAATTCCCGCCATTAGAATATTTATAAAGTTTATAAAAGTAAAAATTAATTTAAAAATAGAAAAAAATTTGTTTTGTTAAAAAAAAAATGAAAAAGAAATTTTTATTTATTAAAAATTAAAAAAAAATATTATTTAGTTTTAATTTAATAATTAAAAAATTCAGCTGACTGTTAATATTTAAAAAAAAATAAATAAATAATTTTTAAATAATTCCCGCCATTAGGAAGTATGCGCGGCATAAAATTTTTTTATTAATACCTTAAGCGCCCTCAAGCAGAAGACTAAGAAATTAAAATCCATTAAGTGTAATCACACATTGACACACACATACACAACAAATTTACTTACTCAACAACTCAACATTCTCTCATATTTTTTACTCTCTCGATATGTCTAATTGTTGATATACAAATAACTCACATAAATAATTTTATCCAAATGTGACATATATTAAATTCCAAAGAAAGCCATTTAATAAACCAAGTTAATACATAAAAAGGTGTATGTGAAATAAGCGGCCAGGGAAGGGAAAAAAATTTTTTTTTCACTCACATTTAATATAATAAATATTTCATCAAACAGCAGTACGACAATGTGATAACCTATAATTTGTATCAATTAAATCCACAATTATAACTTTTTGTTTCTTTACTACAATGTAAGTACCAAAGCAATTTGTTTATGAATTTTTTTAAAAAAAAACCAATCAAAAAAAATTTATTTTTTTTTTTTTTTTCGTTAATTTTTTTTTTTATTCCAATTTTATTTTGAAGATGTTTAGTCTTGTTCCTATAAAGCAAGAGTATTCAAGTGTTGAAGAAGAGAATCAATCGGCATCAAATGGTTTACAGAATAATCTGCACCATCACCATCATCATCATCATCCTCAAGAGTATCCTCCGCCCTTATTTACACACCAAGACGTCGAATACATGTATCGCCAATTACCACAATTTTGGAGTCAATCCCAAATGCAATCAGCCGCAGCTGCAGCAGGGCATATTGATGCATCATTAAATAAAACTACCGGTCAACATAATTTAACACAAGTAAGTTTTTTATTGTTATATTGTCTTCAGAAAATTATTTTATTTTTTAAGGTTATAATTTTATAATTTAATAACACAACTCAGTTTTTTTTTTTTTTTTTTTCAAGTACCAGCTAGACTTTTTTTTTATTATGATTCTAAAATTAGTTAATAATTTTTAGTTTTTTGAAATTAATTAATTATGTTAATAAAAAAAAAAATTTATTTATTATTCTTGATAAAATTAGTAGGAATTTTTGATAAATTTTTATCAATAAAAGAAACATGGACCAAAATGTCTCGAGTAAATTTTAGTTTTAAAAAAAAAAAAACAAAAAAATTTGAAATCAAATTTGTTAGGTCTGATTTTTATCAGATATCTGTCAAAAATTTTTACTTAAAAAATTGCAACAAAGAAAATTTTTTTATAAATATTTTAAAAATAATATTTTTTGCTAAAAAATAATAAAAATTGTTAGTTATTGATTAAATTCATAAAAATTATTTTTAAAGTCATTTAAAAATATAAATTTATGATAATTAAATGACTATTTTTAGGAATTTTTATTAGAAATTCTGATAAAGAGATATTAGTGAAAAATAAAAAGATATAAACTATATTATTAAGAGAATAAGAACTTTTTTTAGTAAAGTTTAGTGATTTAGCATTCTCACAGATCGTCAATTTATTATGATAAGTATTTAGGCTGCATTCGAAAATACTCTATCTCTAGAGACATAATTGAGAAGTTACCTTGTATTTTGAGAACTATTGACATTTTTAAAGAAATAAGCTCATTCTGATGTTACACTCATTGAGACCTTTCATTTGAATACCAACATGAATTTTTCATATATTTTATATATTTATATATTTCACAAATACCATATATATAAAATATATAAAAAATGTCAAGTGGGTACTCAAATGAAAGCTCTTGATGAGTGTAACATCGGTATGAGCTCATATCTTTAAAAATGTCATTAGTTGATAAAATAGAATGTAATTTTTTAATTATTGATATTTTTAAAGATATAAGCTCATCATTATGTTACACTCATCTAGACCTTTCATTTGAGTACCCACATCAATTTTTAATATATTTTATATATTTATATATTTCACAAATATCATATTTATATAAAATATATAAAAAATGGCATGTGGGTACTCAAATGAAAGGTCTCGATAAATGTAACATCAAAATGAGTTTATATCTTTAAAAATATCAATAATTAAGAAATAACCTTGTACCTTGTCAACTATTGACATTTTTAAAAATATAAGCTCACCTCTACATTACACTCATGAAGACCTTTCATTTGAGTATCCACTTCAATTTTTCATACATTTTATATATTTATATATATTACATATATGTATATATGAAAAATATATCAAAATGCCATGTGGGTACTCAAATGAAAGCTCTTGATGAGTGTAACATCAAGATGAGCTTATATCTTTAAAAACTTCAATAATTCCGAAAATACAGTATAATTTAACAATTTAACAAAAGTCATTATTTAATAAACTAAAATTTCATTTATGAACCGTCCATTACGGCAGTCACGTAGTGACTGCCAACTAGATCTGAAACTTTGTAAAAGACTTCATATAAATAAAATTCTTAAAAAAAAACATACTAAAAATTCTGAATTTTTAAAAACTATCTTAATACAATATTTTGGTCCATGTTTCTTAAATTAATATAAACAGTCAATCTTCTATCATAAAAATTATCTCAATATCTTATAATCAATATTTCCCCCTAAACTATTAAATTTATTTTTTTAAAAATTCCCTCCAAAAAAACCAAAAAAATTAATAAAACCAAAAACTTCTAGCATTCCGAAAGACTACCCGGACCATCATATATCCACCAGGAAACAGTGTACACCCAAGACCCAAAAGGGACGCGCGAGCACCCAGCATGTTTGCCATCATCAGAAAGTTCTCAAATTCTCCTCTCACCACCGCCGATTCCAGCGCACTCTATGGCGAACCATACCATAGCATTTATGCGTTCTCAATCATTTCCCGTGCGCCACAACGGTCCGGGAAGGCCGCCCAAAAACTCGTTAATAATCCCCACCCTAACCCCACTTGGAACTGCGTTCCCCCGACCAGGTCACATGGTTAACCCCTCGGTTCCTGGAACCACCTCCAGTCCGTCAACCACCACAGGAACATCAACCATAGACACCACATCAACCCTAGACACCAGCAGTTCCCGGAACTCTGACACGTCTACCCCGGGATTGCCTGGAACACCTGGGCCCGGGTTGCCTGGAACCCCCGGGCCTTCTGGGTCCAATGGTCCTAATGGACCCAACGGCCCCATCGGACCCAATAGCGGTTCCGGGAACCCAGGTGGCAGCACCAGTAGTTCCACTGCAGCTTCCCCGGCAAAAATAAAGCCAAAGTGCCAGTGTGAAGTTTGCTACAAAGAATTCGGCCACAAAAGCAACCTATTTATCCACATGCGCACTCACAATGGTGAGCGACCATACAAATGTAACCAATGTGATAAATGTTTTACCCACAGTGGTAATCTGGCTATCCACATGCGCACGCACTCTGGTGAGCGGCCATACGCTTGTCAAATTTGCGGTAAAATGTTCAGCCACTCTGGTAACTTATCAACGCATTTACGCACGCACTCTGGTGTTAAACCGTACAAATGCAGTGTTTGCGGTAAAGAATTCCGCCATAGTGGTAACCTTTCGATACACGAACGTATTCATTCTGGAATTAAGCCATTTCAGTGCAAAATTTGTGGAAAAGAATTTTATCACAGCGGTAATTTAACGACGCATATGAAAAAACACCCTATGGACAAAGATAGCCTGGGCCCAGGACCTGTTGGCAGAGGTCATGGTCATCCAATTGTGGTTGATGATCAGCAGGTTGAGGTTCAAATTGATGGGTCAAGTCAAATGGATGCTGTTATGGATTCTACTATGGATGAGGAAGAGAGGTTGGATCCCAGTGCTGCTTGTTCCGCTGAAATTTCTGAGGCGGATGAACATGAGGCTGAACGTGTGTATGAACCCTCTAGTTAATGGCAATAATTTTTAAGGTTAATATTACTGACATAAATATACATTTAATAACAGCCAATAAATTATTTTTTAATAATAATCTTATGGATAATTTGATTTTCGGGCAGTTTTTTTTTTTAGTGTTAATTGTAGAAATTTTTAAAATTTTTAGGTTATATGCAAAATTTAATTTTGTTTTTTGTAACGAGTGATGCTTAAAATTTTTTAGCTCTTTGGGATTTAAGGATTTTTTTGCTAAGATTTTTATTATCAATTTTAGGAGGTTAGGTGTAACTAATAGAGAATTGTCGAGTCTGTAGAGTTTTATTGTAAAGGTTGCTGGGAAATTCTTGAAAATTTTGTAATTTTGTAATTAGTCTTTAATTTTTGTTCGATTTTTTATTTTTGACTATAAAAATTGGGGATTTTAAGATAAAAAGACAGTTTTGGAGTTACTGAGCATGCGTGGAACTTGGAACAGGCTTTGCGCATGCGCGGAACTTGGAACTGGCTTTGCGCATGCGCGGAACTTGTTCCAGGCTCAGAGCCAATAGAAATTGAGCGCTAGTGAAAAGGGAGCGAATTTTGGTTCCATATAAATAATAGTGTTTTGAGAAGAAATAATATATAATTTTTTTTTTATCAAAATTTTTTGATAGAGAAGAAATAAATGTGTAAAATATTCTTTATTAGAATAAAACAAAAATTTATTATTTTTGTGGTTAGTCTTTAATTTTATGTTTGATTAAAAATTGTGGATTTAAGAAGAAAAATTTATTTTTTTTTGGTTACTGCGCATGCGCGGAACCTGTGACAGGCTCACAGCTAATAGAATTTTGAGTTCTTTTTTGAGTTCATTTTGAGTTCTTTTTTATCAATTTTTTTGATTAAAAAGAAGTAAATGTGTAAAATAATGTTTAATACAAAAAAAAAATTTTTTTTTGTATATAAATATTATTTAAATGCAATTTTAAAAAATTTTGTTTTTAATTTTAAATAATTGTTTTTTAGCTGAAGAAATAATTTTTTTTTTTTTATTTTTTTTTTAAATTAAGAAAAAAAAATTTTTTTATTAAATTTCTTCAGCTAAAAATTAAAATAATTAAAAATAAATTTCTTCTTAAAAAATTGTTCTTTTTTGCTTAAAAAAAAAACTAAAATTTTCGCTAAAAATTGTAAAAATAATTAACAATAAAAAAAAAAAGATTTCCTAGCAACCGTTGCTAAGGAAGTGCTTCCATAGCAACCACATTATTTTAAAATATAAGTCGCGCTTGGTACTCATTTAAAAAAAAAAAAATAATTATTGACCAGGTTATATTTATTAAACATTTTTATATTTGTTTTTAAGAAATATAACAAAATTAAAAAGTATGCAAATGATAAATCTGCATTTAAAAAAATGTATTTTAAAATGATTACCAATTACAAAGAAAAAAAAAAAATAAAATGTACGGTGTCTTTTTAAAGACATCAATCAATGTGCTGCAATTATATTTATATTGATTTGTAATTGCTGTGAATAATAGTGGTTATTTGTTGATCGCCTTAAAAATGATAAATAACAAGCATAAAAATTAAATTTTAATTCATTAATTAGTTGTACTATATTATGTATAAGTATATATATTATATATAAATAAAAAAAAAATTATTTATGGTTTAAGGTTTTCAATAGAAATAATAATCATATTATAGAATCTCCAGATTTAAGTAATATGTACTTAAAAAAAAAAAAA